CAGTTGATCTGACCTCAGGACGAATTTCATTGCCTCATAATTTCTACAATTTAGTGACGTCAAAAGAAAAATGGGTTGAAAAAGTATTTCCCAATTTTCAAACCAATTATAAGAATCATGATTGGCTGAATGAACGAACTGTTCTTGCGGCCAAGAACGAAGACGTCTACAAACTTAACAATATTATTCAGTTTAACATTCAGAGCAAGACAGTCACATACAAGTCCGTCAATACTGTTGTGGAAGCAGATGAAGCGGTTAATTATCCAATGGAATTTTTTAGTTCACATGATCTGCCAGGGATACCATCACACGTACTGCAATTGTAAATCGGCTTGCCAATTATCATGTTGCGAAATATCAACCAGTGAAAACTTTGCAATGCCACGCGCCTTGCAGTAAAAAAAATTAATCAGCGTCGTTGTAGAAGCAACAATCTTGACAGGACCTTTCCAATGTGAAGATGTCCTCATTCCTCACATTCCTATGATTCCAACGGATATGCCAATTCAATTTAAGAGATTGAAATTTCCAATTCGATTGGCGTTTGCAATCACCATCAACAAAGCTCAGGGCCAATCTTTAGAATTGTGCAGTTTATATCTAGACACGGATTGCTTCACACATGGACAATTATATGTTGTGTGTTCTAGAGTCGGCAAACCAGACAATCTCTCTCTACAGACAATGGAACAACAAAAAATATTGTATACCCAGAAGCACTATGAAATGAAACATATTAGAAATGTGCGCTTTCTCTTCTCTTTTTTGGAGATATATAAGAGTTGTTACATTCTTGTACTGCCACTAGTGCGAGTAGTGTTTCGGGCAGGTCCCTGGAATACGATCCCCACCGCGAAGAATCTTTGTTACAACCAAGTACACATTTTATTGTTGCGTTAAACAGAAGCAACAGTTAAGGATTTGCGCCCAGTAAATCCTCCCCGCCCAGGATACGAACCCTTGACAAAGCGCTCGCGGAACGCCAGGTGAGTGTCCTACCACTGCACCACGGAGACCGGAAACTTTCTTTCCCATTTAGACAGGGAGTTAGGTTTGTAGTTCTATTCTACAATTCTAGGAAAATTTTCCTAGAATTGATCAAATCTGCCCAGCCCGATGGAATCATCGCTTCACTGGACGTTGAATCCCTATTTACCAACGTCCCAGTCGACACAACCATAGGAATGATACTGGACAGAGTATACAGAGACGAGAGCACCCCCAAATTAGACATACCTGAGCCACACTTGAAGAGTCTTCTCGAAGCATGTACAAAGGAAGCCCCTTTCATCAGTCCACAAGGAGACATGTATTTACAAATAGACGGAGTAGCAATGGGCTCCCCCTTAGGAGTTTTATTTGCTAATTTTTATATGGGAACCATCGAAGACAGGGTCTTCAGCAGCAGACAAAAACCAATTGTATATTGCCGTTATGTAGATGACATATTTGTAATAGTAAAAGACTCAGATGAACTAATTGACCTAAAAAGACACCTAGAGAGTCAGTACTCCGATTTACACATGAAAATAGTGAAAATAACAGTCTGCCATTCTTGGATGTACTAATAACAAAAACAGGAACCTCTTTAAGCACCAACGTATATACCAAGCCCACCAACATAGGATTATGCCTGAACGGTAGAAGTGAGTGCCCCCAAAGATTCAAAGCCAGTGTTCTCAATGCTTATATTCGTCGAGCGCTTACCCACTGCTCTGAATGGAGCAACGTGAGTAGAGAGTTTGACAGAGTAACTCAGGAATTGGTGAACAACGGATATAGCAACGCGGAAATAAACGCTGCTATAAGAAGACACTTGAACCGTTGGTATAATCCAGAACCTAGAACAGAAACCATAATACCTCCAATAAAATTATATTACAAATCAACCATGCACAGTGAACATATAAAAGAGGAAAGAATAATGAAAGAAATAATCCGTAAAGGAGTAAAAAGCATTACTCCTAACCAAAACATAAACCTGATAATATTCTACAAAACCAAGAAGACTTCCGAACTCTTTATCAAAAACAGCCCGAAGCCGACGAAGAACCCTCTACAGCAGTCAAGCGTTGTATACATGTACACTTGCCCCCACGAAGGATGTAACCTTCAATCTAAGTACATAGGTATGACGTCGACCAAGCTGACGAGGCGTTTGACATGCCATCTTCAATCCGGTGCCCCTAGGAATCACATGAGACAAGCCCACGACATCACTCTAACAAGAGAAATATTGAACAAGAATACCTGCATAATAGACAAAACCCAAGATGCAAGAAGATTACAAATTCTTGAGGCAATTAACATAAGAATAGAACAACCTACCATGAACACCCAAATCACGGAACTATTTACTGTACCCACCATGAGAGTAAGGACAAGACCAGAACATAACGATGCCAACACAGAAGACAATGTCCTTAAAGTGAAAGGAAAGTGAAACGCCATGAAACCTCTGAAGAGACAACTAACACAACACCTATACCCCGTATTAGACTATTTTACAGGAACTTCTTTTCCACAGCTCATAAAACAGAGGAAAGGGTCCTGAAAGATATTGTTAATAGAAACGTTATCCCTACAGACAAAAATTAGAGGATACAACTGACAATTTACTATAAAACCAAAAAAACGGCCAGCCTACTCATGAGAAACTCTCCAGACACAAAGCAGAACGCTTTAAAAGAGACCAACGTCGTCTATGCCTTCAAATGCCCTCTTGGGGACTAAGCCTCAAAAACTCAGTATATAGGCAAGACAACAACATCTCTTTCCAGACGTTTAACGATGCATAAGCAACAGGGCTCCATTAAGGAACATATAGTCTCTTCCCACAACCAAACCATCACCAGAGAAATCTTAGCAAACAACACAGAAATCATCGATAGATACAGCAATAGCAGGCGGCTTGACGTCTGCGAGGCACTACACATCAAGAAGTCAACACCAGCAATCAACAGCCAATTATTGCACAACTATATTCTACCCACCTCAAGACTCCGCTCCAATATAGATGCATCAAGAAATATGGGCCAATACAAATAAGCCTTCTGCAGTTACCTAGCTTTAATACCAGTTTGTATTTCATTGTTTCGTGTTCTGTCTTGTGTTAAAAGTTTATTTCCACCTCATCCAAAACTATTGTAACATGTCACTTCATCCAAATGTAGGTATAAAAACTCGAAAGATGTTTAAGCTCTATTCAGTTAAAGATGTGTGTGTGTGCGTAAACTAAAGCCTTTGAAAATGTAATAAGTTTTACGAAACGCGCTCAAGTGTCGCGTCAGACTAGAAATAAAAATGAATTTTGGAGAATTGATTTTGAATTACCATCAACAGTGAAAAGAAACGTAAGAAAGATCGAGAAAATTCGTGCTAGAATTATTAATCTTACTTGTTCGGTCATATTTAATAATTATATATATATATATATATATATATATATATATATATATATATATATATATATATATATATATATATATATATATATATATATATATATATATATATATATATATATATATATATATATATATATATATATATATATATATATATATATATATATATATATATATATATATATATATATATATATATATATATATTATATATTTATATATATATATATATATATATATATATATATATATTTATATATATATATTTATATATATATATATATATATATATATATATATATATTTATAAATATATATATATATATATATATATATATATATATATTTATAAATATATATATATATATATATATATATATTTATAAATATATATATATATATATATATATATTTATAAATATATATATATATATATATATATATATATATATTTATAAATATATATATATATATATATATATATATATATATATATATATATTTATAAATATATATATATATATATATATATATATATATATTTTAATCCATAAATATATATATATATATATATATATATATATATATATATATATATATATATATATATATATATATATTTATAAATATATATATATATATATATATATATATTTACGCCCGATTTGCCTATAAGCCAAGTTTTCATGAATTATATTTACATTGTTTTTCGACTACCTAACCTACCAAACCTAACTTTTTCGGCTACCTAACCTAACCTAGGTTTGGTTAGGTTAGGTAGGGTTGGTTAGGTTCGGTCATATATCTACGTTAATTTTAACTCCAATAAAAAAAATGACCTTATACATAATGAAATGGGTAGCTTTATCATTTCATAAGAAAAAAATTAGAGAAAATATATTAATTCAGGAAAACTTGGCTTATTAGGCAAATCGGGCTATGCATAGTAGGCTGAGAAGTGCGTTCTGGCTACTAGGTACGACATATATATATATATATATATATATATATATATATATATATATATATATATATATATATATATACATATATATCCCTTCAACTTTTTTTAACCTTTTCCATTCACTAAGATATCTTAATCAACCTAATGCATCAATACTTTCAACGGTAATCTTATCATTAAATCACTAATGCTACACAGATGGCTTTGTTACATCCACAGGCTCCTATACTGCTATCACTGCTCTTAATAGCAGTGTCCACCAGGGATCGTCGCCACCTGTGTCTCGGGAAGTCACACTTACCTTCACCAGTTAATTTTTAATATGAACAATATTTTTAATACCTGTGATTAGGTAAACAAATACTGTATTTAAAAAGTAAACTATCAAGAAAGTCTTGTTGGTCCCATCTTCAGAAGGATGCACTAAAATACCAAAGAATGGAGTCAGGACAACCTCTCAGCAATGTAAGCAGCCCTTTCCAGATTCTAATATAATTTTCCGTAAATTGTCATCACACAAGCTAATTAATCTATCAATTGTTAAATTCCAAATAAGACCATCTGTGAAAAAAAATGGATATCTTGATAATATAAAACTATCAACAAATTTTATTGTCGTAACTTACCAGTAATGTGAAAAACAGACTTGAATCCTAACCCAAACTGGCCAACTTTCAGAGGATCATTTTTCTTTACGCTATCACTGAACTTCTGGATGCCACGCCAATCATCGTCAGTAAATGTTGCATTGTTGTAGAGACAGAGTGCAGGTCCCTGTAAGCAATGAACAAGTGAGCTATATTCCACAAATTATAAATTATGCAATGGCTGTGCATAATGGCTGTGCATAATAAATTATGCAATGGCTGTGCTGTACTTTAAATATATGTATCCCAATATCCCAAAGAAACCCAATGTTAAATGCAATGCTTCATTCTGACTCCCTAAAGCTTTCTCATTGAGACCCCCCCCCTCCCTGTTCAGCCCATTGATGCCATGAGGAGGGCTTAGTGGGCGGCTGCCGGAGTGTGATGCTCCTCGGGACAGTCCTCTGTCCTTTTGTGGCCTTGTGCTCCTGCTGCTGTCCTCTCTAATTGTGTTGAACGACTTTTCTTTTTCTTCTGTTTCGTTTTTTCTCCCCCCTCTTCTCCAATCTGCTTGTTGTTTCCTGCTGACCTATTGCTTGTTTTGGTTATTCCTTTGGACTTCTTCTATTTTGACGGCCGGGTGCTTGAGGAGGCATACTCTTGCACCCGTAGAACTGTAGTACCTGGCGTCTCGAGCGAGGGGAACCTTTTATTGTCAAACCCCCGTTCGTCGTTGAACCCGATCTCGACGGACTGACGGTTCTTAAGGTGGCGTTTGTGGGGCGTATACTCACGACACACCCCTAGGGGGCCCCGTCATGATCGGCGATAGCTTCCTATTGGGTGTCCTGCCTCTAATCACACAATTGTGGCTCCATGGTGGGTATGGGGGCACATTCGTGGATGAAATTGCAATCTTCGTCTGTATATCGATGAATGTTTCTGTTGTACCCTCTCAGGCTCGTGGGTACAGGCTCGTGGGGTGGCCGACCCAGCCCCCGAGTCGGCCTGTATTGGAAGACCGGGGCTCTTTAGCCCCCGCTGCGTTGGGCCCCGACCATGCTCCTCCTTTGACCCTCCTGACTTCTTCCCCCTCCCCTCTCTCCTCTGTGGTTGGGTCGAGCCTCCAGCCCCCACTGGTGTCCACTTCGTCCCCTGGTGCGGCTAACTCTCTCGTTGTGACTACTGCGCCTTTTAACCCCTCTCTCTGGGGGTTCTCAACGCCGTCTGCGCCACGGCAACACTCGCTCGATTCCTTCCTGTACTGATGCGTATCAGGCCTTGTTTGGTCCCGCTTCATGGTCCAAATACTTTGATCTCCTCCCTCTTGATTCTGAGCCTCCTGATGATTTCTCCCTCCATCGGCATCTTGTTGATTCCGTGGATGCCTCTGTTACCTTCAACACCACTCGTCTCGGTACACGTGTCGTTGCTGCTCCTTCTCAGGATGCAGCTTCCCACTTGGCTGCCTTATCCTGCCTTGGCTAGATCCCTGTTCGAGTCTCAAAGAATGCTCGGTTGAATGCCAGTGTTGGCACTATTCTCCTCCTGCCCCATGTTGCGACCGGTGTTCGGAATCTGCAGGACTGCCACGATGATATTCGGCATATCCTTGATGTTCAAGGCCAATCTGTCCTCCAGGTAGACTTTTACTCGTCCCACTCGTGGTCGTCTCCGTCAACGTCGCCGGGTTGTGAAGATTACCTTTGATGGTAGGACCCTTCCATCCTCTGTCATTCTTTTTGGTGCCAGGTGCTCTGTCAAGGAGTACATTCCTTCTCCTAGGCTTTGTAACAAGTGCTGGAAGTTTGGGCATGGTGCCCTCTGCTGCTCTGCGTCTGTGTCTCTCTCTCTGTCCTTTGTGTGGGGGCTAAGGTCACTCTAAGTCGAAGTGTACTTCTCCCCAGGCTCACTGCCTCAACTGCAGTGAGGCCCATCCTACCTTCTCCTGTTCCTGTATCCATTACAAGCTTGAGGCAGCCGTCCTCAACTTGAAGCACCGAGAGCGTTTATCTTTTCCTGAGGCGAGGCGCCAGGTTCGCCAGCTCCCGCCTTATGCTAACGTCTCTTATGCTTGCGTGTTGCGCTCTTCCACTCCTCGTCCTTCCCACCTTCCTCAGTCCCACAACCGTTTCCCGGCCATGGACCCTGATACGCCCACTGCTCCCTCCTCTGTTCCTTTGAGTTTTGTCCCGAAGGGTCCCCCTTCAGGTCCTCTGTCTGGGGTTCCCCTTCTTTTTGCCCGGTCTGTCATGTCTCCTGTGTCTTCTTCCTCGTGTCCCTCCAATCCTCCTTCCCATCCTTCTCCTCCATTTATTGACTCTCCCCGTCGCCTGTCAGTGCGGGCTGATGTCCATCGCTCTTCTACCGGTCGTCGTGTGTGCTCTCGTTCAGCTTCTCCAGTTGAGACACTGGAATCCGTTGCCCAATACGTAGTTGCTGGGACACCTGTCTCTTTTAAGTCAAAAGCGTAAGCCGGGATCATCTCCTTCCTCCTCCCCGGCGGGTACGAAGGCTTCGCTTTCTTCCTCGGCCCCTACTTCTGGCTCTATTGCCCCTTCCCCTCCCATTTCGGTGGTTGCGCCCCCTGTTCCTGCTATGGAGGTTTCTTTGGCCCCCGCTTCCTTCTCGGTTGTTGCCCTTGCTGAGGTGCGCTCCCCTCTTTCTACTCCCCCTCTTCCTGCTGTTGTCCTTGACTACTCCTCTCGGTTGCCTCCTCCTCTTCCTTCTCCACCTCCGGACCCTGCGTGTCCACCTCTGGTCTGTTCTTCCGCTTCCTTCCATCTTTGCTCAGTTTACCCATGCCCCCTAACCCTGACTTTGCTGACCCTGATCCCAACCCTGGTCTTCTTTAACGTGCTATGTTGCTCTTTCGCCTTTGTTTCTTCCTTGTTCTCTGTTGTTGTCCTTTCTCTTCTCGTCGATGTCTATTCATCAATAGAACGTTCGGGGTTATTACGCCAATTTCCTTGAACTTCACCTTCTTATTTTGCGATTTTCACCTGTTTGTGTCTGTCTCCGGGTGCCGATGCTTGGTGCTCGTCCTGGTCGCTTTCATGGCTATTCCTTCCCCCCCCCCCCCAGCCGTTGCTGGGGCTCCTAACTCTTCTGCTCTCTTGATTCGCTCTGATGTTCCCTTTGTCCCCTTACTTTTTCCTTCGCCTCTCCATTGTTCTGCTGCCCGTACCTTTGTGGGGAAATGTTACACTGTTTGTTCCATTTATCTCCCCCCGAGTGTTCCGCTTTCTCTTTCTGCTCTGAAACACCTACTGGACTCCTTGCCGGAACCTGTGCTCCTGCTGGGTCATTTCAATTGTCGTCATTCCCTTTGGGGTGATGTTCTGACGAACACCCGGGGTCGCCTCTGTTCGCCTTCTCGAGCCGTTTATCCTCTCTTCTATGTCTCTTCTGAATTCTGGTGAGCCCACGCATTTGGACTCTCAGACTCGCACCCTTTCCTGTCTTGATCTTTCTCTTTGCTCGTCTTCTCTTTACTTAGATTTCATGTGGCAGGTTCTTGATGACCTCCATGGCAGTGACCATTTCCCCATCCTTGTTACCTTTTTCTCTTTTCGCCCTCCCCTCTTCTTCCTTAGGTGGCAGTTTGCGAAAGCGGACTGGAACCTCTTTACCCTCAGTGCTGCTCTCTCTGACCTCTTCCTTCTGCCTCTCCCTCGCTCTCTCCTTTTTTATGACACTGTCTTCGACGCTGCCCTCCGCTCTATTCCTCGATCTTCCTCTCGCGGTCCACGGAAGTGCGTTCCCTGGTGGAATGCAGACTGTGCTCGGGCTGTAAGCGTGCAGCCTGGAAGAGACACCACCGGCGGCAGACGATCGATTCTTTTCTTTCAAAAGGCGAGTGTGGTGGCCCGTAAGGCCACCCGTACGGCTAAACATGATTGTTGGGCATCTTATGCTTCCACCATTACGTCCGAAACTCCTCTGCCACCGATCTGGAAGTGTATCTGCAAGATAGCGGGTAAGTTCGTTCCCGATGTTTCACCGGTCCTTCACCTCCGTGGTACTCTTGTGGTGGACCCGTTGCAGGTCGCTACTGAACTGGGTTCCCACTTTTCTTCTGTTAGCTCTAGTCTTCATCTTCCCCAATCTTTCCTTCTTCGTAAACCTGTCCTTGAGTCTTGTCCTTTAGATATCTGCACTTGCCTTTGACTTCCCTATAACGATTCTTTCTCTCTTTCTCTGAACTTCGTTCTGCCCTGGCCCTCTGCGGTTCTACGGCAGCGGGCTCCGATGGTATTCATTATGAGATGCTTCGCCATCTCCCTCCGTGCACGTCTCAGTATTTACTGAGTCTGAATAATCGGATCTGGGAGTCGTCGTCAGTCCCTGAGGACTGGCTCGATGCCGTTGTCCTCCCTGTTCGCAAACCAGGGTCTCTGGGAACCTCCCCCAAGGACTTTCGCCCTATTTCCGTCACAAGTTGTGTCTGCAAACTCTTTGACCGTATGGTTAACGTTCGTCTGATGTGGTTCCTGGAACACCATCACCTCCTCTTCCCTTCTCAATTTGGTTTCTGTAAGTGCCGCAGCACAACAGATGTCCTGGTGAACTTGGAGGTCTATATTCTTTCTGCGTTTGCTGTGAAGACTTCTGTTGCTGCGGTCCTTTTTGACCTGGAAAAGCCTTACGACACCACTTGGCATTATCATATTCTATCCCAGCTTCATTCTTTTGACCTTCGTGGTCATCTGCCTCTCTTTCTCCGCAGCTTCCTCTCTCGTCATTCCTTTCGGGTGAGGCTTGGTACCGCTCTTTCTGCCTCTTTTCAGCAATACGAAGGTGTGCCCCAGGATAGTGTTCTGAGCACTACTCTTTTTCTGGTTGCCTTCAATGGTCTTCTTTCCTCTCTTCCTTCAGGCGTCTTCTCTGCTCTCTGTCGTTGATCTTACTCTTTGCTGTCAGGGTGATGATTCGCCTCTCCTTCAACGCTGGCTTCAACCTGCGATTAATGCCGTGTCGTCTTGGGCCACCGATCATGGTTTCAAGTTCTCTTCTACTAAGAGTTGTGATATGACTTTTACTCGGAAACGGGTCGTTCATCGTCCCTGTTTTTCACTTTCTGATCATCCCCTTGAGTACAAAGATTCTGCGAAGCTTTTGGGGTTATTCCTTGACACTCGTTTGTCTTGGTCTCCCCATATCTCTTACCTCCGTGTTGAGTGCTCT